TTGGGGTAATTTTGGCGGCCGGCCACTCCTGGAAAGGTTCACCACTGTTCCATGTCTTCGCCATTTGTGGATAATGGCTCTCACTGTGGGTCGCTGGATTCCCAAAGCTTTGGAAATGGCTTTAAAACATAACCCTTCCAGACTGATAGATCTCAATTACTTTCTTTCTCAATTGTTCCTGAATTTCTTTGGGTCTCGGCATGATGTGTAGCTTTTAAGGATCTTCTGGTGGACCTTACTGTGTCAAGCAGCTCCTATTTAAGTGATGCCTTGCTTGTGAACAGGTGTGGCAATAATCAGGCCTGGGTGTGGCTAGAGAAATTGAACTCAGGTGTGGACAACCACAGTTATAATATTTTTAACAAAGGGGGCAATCACTTTTTCACACAGGCCATGATGGTTTGGATTTTTTTCACCTTTAATAATAAACACCTTCATTTACAAATTGCATTTTGTGTTTACTTGTGTTGTCCTTGACTATTGTTTAAATTGGTTTGATGTTCCAAAACACTTAAGTGTGACAAACATGAAAAGGAACAGGAAATGAGGAAGGGGGCAAACACTTTTTCACACCACTGTACATCCACACATTTCCCAGGGAACTAGATTCTGTGCCAAGCCCATTGCATACACATTCACACACTACGGACAATTTGGAAATCAGCTTACAGCTTTGGACCCAGGGATGAAACCGGAGTTCCTGGAAGAAACCCCAGAAGCATAGGGAGATCATGCAAGCTCCACGCACACAGGATGGAGGCAGGATTTGAACTCCCAACTGCAGAGGTATAATTCAAATGTGCTACCTACCAACCCACCGTGCCCACCAGGGCTAGCAGATTTTAATCCCTTCATCCAGGTTTAAAACTGACATCAGTCATTCTATTGGGCCAGTGTTGGCAGAGTTGTGCACCTTTGCCAAATTTATCCCAATATTAGTACAACATGAAATCTTAATATATTATAATTATACATTTCTATATTATAGAAATATCAAACAAATCCTTAACTGTGGCTTGATTGTAGTCATTTTTTTCTCCAAGCAAGAATAGCAGCTTTATTACTTGAATTCTTAACTTTATTAGCATATTAATTAACTCTATTATAAATGATTGCTAGCCCGTTAGGCTTCAGATGAATTGCAGTTTAGGATTAGATTACGGAGTTTGTAATTCATTTGTAAATGTATCAGTGAAAAGTATGACACATTTACAGAATGAGACTCATACAAGTCAATATCATATTGTTCAGGATATTAGAGTATTAGCTAACAATCTTATGAAGGCTATACTTTATTATCTGAATACTTCAATAGATAACTGTAAAAGAGATTCCCCCATCACTATATAGTAGCTTGATATCATCACACATCATTTCACCAATCATTCTCGTAAATTGTAATCTTATAAAGCTAGTGGTACCAGCTTTGGTATATTTATTATTTTCATAACTAAGTAGGTTGGAGTTGTTGAGTTATATTTATTTTTGTGTCAGACAGAGGATCCTGTTTCGGGCAGTAGCTGGGTGGCCTTGAAATCCCCCTGTCCTTCCTGTTAAACATCTCACCATGATGGAACTTACAGGAATTGCAAATGAATTAGTGTCTGGACCTTAAAACACACACACACACACACACACACACACACACACACACACACACACACACACACACACACACACACACACACACACACACACACACACACACACACACACACACACACACACACGAAGAAACACTCTCTACATGCTCTACCTGTCCATGTTTTACAGTAATAAGCTTGCATCTTTGAATGTGAAACAAAAGATGTGACACAGAAAAGAATAGAAAAATCATTTATCTGTATTGTACAGACTAATTTTTCCTTAATAGATTGTTTCTGTGCAAGTCCAATTCAATTGATTTCCTATATTTAATTATAATACATGTTTAGCAGTATTTCTAAAGCATTCTATATATATATATATATATATATATATATATATATATATATATATATATATATATATATATATATATATATATATATATATATATATATATATATATATATATATAATGTGCGCACATTGAGACAGGTGACAAATTAAAGGAAAGAACCGGTGGCTCTGCTGTGTTGTAAGATTTTACTGGCATGTTTTGTGTCCATTTGCACCATTAAGAGTGAAGCGCCACTGCAAATCAATACAAACATATTCTGATTGATCACCTTTATCCTACAATGAAACTTTTCTACCCTGATGCGTGTGGTCTCTTCCAGGATGACCCCACCCCCTTCTACAGGGCACAAGGGTTCACTGAAGTGTTCAGTGAGGATGAAAATTTATATGCAAATAATATGAATGAACCACCGGAGGGAAAAATCTTTTAGTCGGATGTCCAACCCTCCAGTACAGTATTTCCAGAGAAGTGTAGACCATAACATCTTACTCGACCAATAATAAGATTATTTCTTATTCATTTTCTGAATGTCTCACGGCAATGGTCTATGGGTGATTCTATTGTTCTTAGTGCATGAGATGTATCACTCTATAAGAATAAGTGCTGTACAGTTAAAAAGAAAAAAGAGAGAAACTGAATTGCAAAGTGAGAAAAATAAAGACCCCGGTGTTAAATTGTCGACCTCTGACCGAGCGTGGAGATTTCAGCAGCTTTGCCCTGTGTTTCTGCGTTATATTACAAAGAGGAGGAAGATAAAGACACACTGCATGACAAAGGATCCCTGAGTGTCCTCTTTATGTTTCTTACGAGGACATTAACAAATATATTAACACATATGCAGGCAGAGAGAGAAAGACACCCCATGGCTGTTTCTGTAGCTCAGATCACAAGCAGTAAAGCTTGAAAAGCAAACCTGCTGGAACATACCGACCTTTATAAACAGATCAAACACAATCTCTGATATTCAGCTCACCATGAATAATTCTTCATTGTAGGCCAGACTTATATTTATTTTTAAAAATAGACCATTTGATTGGGGTTTTGTTACTACTTCATCTCAAATTGTCCTCATTTAAATGACCTTTCTGAAAATTACACTCGAACACAAATACAGTATGCAGTGCCAGCCAGGAGCACACAAACAAGCTTTAAAATGCTGCTTTTTTTGTTCACTGTTCAGTTTCAAGAGTCAGTTATTCTCAAGCTCGGAAATCAGAGGTTGTGTTTGATCTGTTTATAAAGGTTGGTGTGTTCAAGTAGATGTAACTATAAGAAATGTTAGCTGACGTGCTACACTGACTACGTTTACATGGACAGCAATAATCTAATTACTGACCTTATTCTGAATAAGACAATATTCTGATTAAGGTGTTTACATGCGCTGCTTTTACAATATTCCTTTTATGTTCCTGTTTTACATGTTATAGAACATTGATTGATTAACGGCACACGTCATTAAGTCCCCGCGCCACGCCGTCCGACCTTCCCTCCAGAATCTCACGTATCAACATACACTTTGTCTTCGTTCGGGTACCGTATTCAGTTTTGGGTGTTTCATTTTTAATTTTACGAAAGCTTCAAGTGCAGTTAATTATTTGTCACGCTGTACGAGCAAATAGACGACCGCTTGAAGCCGTGGGCTGCATCCGAAGCGTGTTTTTACCTACTATATAGTAGCTGAGATACATGTCTTTACTAACATAAGTAAACCAGAGCATTTGTTGCATAAAAAATGTGCTTCATAACAGTTTTGTGCCACTACATCTAAAAGTAAACAAAAAACATCCATGCATCCATCCATCTTCTACACCACTTATCCTACTGGATTGTAGGGAACCTGGAGAACATCCCAGGGTGCATCAGGAACAAGGCTGGGTACACTCTGGGTAAGGTGCCAGTCCATCGCAGGGCACAATCACATACGCATTCACACATCCTTTCATACACTACAGACATTTCAATCAGCCTACCGTGTATGTCTTTGGATTGGGGGAGGAAACCCCCACAGCACAGAGTGAACATACAAACTCCACGCTCAAAGGGCAGTGGCGGAATCAAACCTCCAACCCTGGAGGTGTGAAGTGAACATGCTAACCACTAATCCACCATGCGCCCTTAAACAAAAAACATAATTTACTAAAAAAATTTATATTGTTAAAAACCTTAGCATGTCATACAACTAGGGTTTATTCATATTTAATACATGTATACTACTACTAATGTATACTAAACTATTACATAATGCATACTGGTAGAGAAAGCAATTATCCACTAAGAGTACCTATAAATCTATTCAGTGTCTTTCTTCCCTACAAGTACACATTATACATTTTATACATTTTTATTTTAAATATATTATAGTGTAAATTATTACAAGAACACATTATTACTAGCATGTCTGTAGTAAATGTGGATAAACATATTGTATACTTAGTATTTGCTAAGGTGTATAACAAAATTAAGATATCCAAGGTATTAATAAAGACATTTGTCTTTCCTATACATGTACATTATACATTAGTACAAGTATACATTATAGCAGTATATTTGTAGTATGCATGGATAAACTTATTGTATATTATAAAGCAGCCATCATCCACTATAAGGACAATAAACATTTGTACAGCAGATTACAGTAATGATCGATGGTGTATCTATGATAAAAATGTAGCCAGATTGTTGCATATATATTAAAAATGTAATGCTTTAGAACCTCAAAATCTTCAACCTTTAATTTAGTAGTTCTACCATCACTTTTTCCATCACATTCTACCATACCAAGATACCATCCATCCAACCTTACTGCTTACTCCTTTTCACGCAGGCGAACCTGGAGCCAATCTCAGGGAGCATTGGGCACAAGGCGGGGTACACCCTGGACAGGGCACAATCACATACACACTCACACACCCATTCATACACTATGGACACTTTTGACACGCCAATCAGCCTACCGTGCATGTCTTTGGACTGGGGGAGGAAACCAGAGTGCCCAGAGGAAACCCCCGCAGCATGCAGGGGAGATCAACAGGGAGAACATGCAAACTCTGCACACACATCACTCCAGTGGGAATCGAACCCCAGACCCTGGAGGCGCGAGGCAAACGTGCTAACCACTACACCACTACGCCACTGTGCACATACCAAGATACACGTGCAAAATGAAAATATATATATTTTTTAATGAAAATGTTAATAATAGTCATTTCACCATTACAGCATTTTCCCTCCCCCTTCTTTATTTATGTTTTTAACTCTGTGTTATGTCCATTGGGTTATTCAGAAGCAACTGTGCCATTCTTGTGCGGGTAATTGGCTCCCATGAATATGAAACACCACTTAAACAATGTGAAGGACTTTAGAGAGACAAAAAAGCTTGAGGTGCTTCCTCATTTCCATTTCTTGAGTGTTGGGAAGAGGTTGGGACGGCTCTGTGTTTACTGTAAACTTGAGGAGAAAAGACACTGAGTGGCACGTAAATGCCCTTTCATCCACTTATCAATCCCATCCTCCCTTTTCCATTCTTCAGAAGACATCAATAGATGAGGTCCTTAATTAAACAAGAAGATTCTGACCCATCAATCATATCCGAGCCAGAATCAGGAAGGCGTCATTCCCTAAATGTAGAGGATATACAGGAATTTAACCTGACAAATTAATATATAAAATATTCTACAGTGTATGGCATTTTGAATCCCAAATCTCAGTAGGTTCTCTTTTATCAGGGTTTATTGTTTGTCACATTTTCCAAGAGCGTGACATTAAATGTTAAATAAAACATCAATTCCAGAGTAAGGGGTATATTAGTTAAAGGGAAACTGTTGAAATGAACATTTTTAAATCACCTTTACGCATCAGTAGTTTATCAGAATAATGTACAAACACAGATTTTTCTGACTGTTCAAAAAGTTGTTTGAAACCAACCTCAGAGCAGATGTAAGCAATGTAATACACTTATTATGTGATGTCGTGATCATCAATCATGGCATAGCATAACATAACTATCTCATTCATTTATCATGGTAATATCATCACATCTGTAATGTCAATGAAATGATTAATACTTATTAGCTAAAATGAGCTAACAGAGGCTGAAAAATAAACATTCATTCACTCTGATAACTGACACCGTGACCCTGACCAGGATAAAACAGTTACCTAAGATGAATGAATAATAACTAAATTGTAAAAATTTCACTCAGTTTTCGTGTGTTTATCCCCATATCGCTCCTAAGCTCTCTCTTTCCAACACTCAAGCCATGGAAATGAGGAAACACCTCAAGCTTTTTGTTTCTTCACATTGTTTAAGGAGCATTTCATATTCATGGATGCCAATTACTCGCACAAGAATGGCACGGCCGCTTTAGAGAGGAGCTTAATGTACCAAGTTAAGAAGGGCAGGCTATTTAGTCCATTGCCTCAGGTCATGGAGATTGGACAATCTTTTGAAGAGAGGAATTTTAGCTGATCTGATGCAGTGTGAGCCCTAATGGTTGTGAATGAGAAACTTCCAATTCGTCACTCTCAGGAATAAGACTAAAAGATCAAGCTGTCTTGTGAGCTAATTTGTAATAAACTACATCCTAAAAGTGTAGGTATGGTGCAAAAATAATGTAATGAGTACATAAAAAGTAAACAAATATTACATTAAAATAATGATTAGGATGAACATAAACCCACATGTATATAATGTTTATTATCATGATGTCTAGCATGACTTTTTTTTTTTTTATAATTGTGTACCAATATATTTTCACCCTCTGCCATTTAGCTTTTTCCTTCAGAGCATCTGTGATGCAAAAAGCGAACTTTTGACTTTTGAGGGGAAACTGTAACGCCAGTCTGTAGACGAAAGTGCCATGTGTTTAATTTGCCCCATCGTCACTCATGAGACCCATTCTACTGCCTCATTTCTCTAATTACCCCACCCTTACTGTAAATTAGCCCTGACCGATAATTAGCCGGAGTTTAAGTGGATGCATTTCAATAGGCACCCCAATGTGCAGCAGTAAAGTCTTTAACCTCTTTAACACGACTTTATCCTCATCTATAAGCCTAATGTTAACGGATTAGGAGATATACCAGTGCATAATTAGCCACACTTACCGATACACATAAATACCTGTAATAGCACTTTTTCAATTATGGAACATCTTAGTAATTTGTTCATTTCTAGCCCACAGTACTTAAAGACTCATAGTACAGAGTATATGGTATATGGTTATACAATATATTGTGATATTTCCATTCAGAAATATGTTAAATAGGTAGGCCTTGTTTTTGGTAAAGCATGTCCCATTTGTAATCTATATAAGGAGAGTTATCTTATATGAAGTTCCTGAAGGAGCATGCGTCCTTCTCAGAGAAGCCAATTGGACAATAGCTGCCATTTACATGGACAACAATAATAACAGGACACGACAGGACACGATCACACACGGCAGTTCTCAACATTTTACGGCAAACAAGAGAGTTGGGCTGCGTCCAAAACCGCATACTTTCCTACTATAAGCCTGTAGTGGGGAAAAATACATTTATCTCGGCTACTATATAGACGGTAAGTACGCGGTTTGGGATGCAGCCTATAGCTTCAAGCAGTTGTAGCTGCTTGAAGTTGTGGCAAATGATATAAACAATGTGAAATTATGCACATGTAACTCATATTCTTTCTTATAGAGCATCTTTGATTTAGTTTACCCCTATGTGTTAATGAATACATTAACTAACAATCCTGTACTTACATGTACTTAAGGAGGTCGTTTTTCACGCGTGATTTCATAAGACTCACGTCGTAGTTAAGTTTAGCTCTCATTAGTTCGTAATTAGTACATGCTTCAACTAATCATTAGTTTGTTTTTAAGAATGTGTAAGTTCAGGAATTAGTGCATGATTATTCATGTACTATTATTGTAAAGTGTTACCAGTTAAAGACGTACCACTGATAGTACCACCCCAGGACAAGGAACTATACTACTACTTGGTACCTTTATATACTGTATGAGAATGCATAGGAGTTTGGTTTGCATTCGATGCTAAGTGTAATTACAGTATAATTTTAGTAATATGCAGTATTTTCGCATTAATTGTCCAACACATCTGAGGAAAATGTTTATATTCTTGACATTTCTGTTTTATTCCAACTATTACTGTGCCTTTACGGAATCCCAGAAGTGCGCTTATATATATATATATATATATGACCTGTTTGTATCTGTTTGCACAGGGGGATGGGAGGCATATGGAGTGGGCAGTGTGTGTGTGTGTGTGTGTGTGGCCCCTCCTGCCTATACTGATCTGAGCCCAGCTGCAAACAGAGCAGTGTATCTCCCTTTACTCAAACACAGTCTAATTACAGTTTACTCTGCTTTTTGTTTCCTGCTTTAATCCGACAGCCCCATTGTGATGTGCACGTGCCTAAATCCGCCCTCTTCCCCCCGACCCCTCGTTCCCTTACACACTCTGCCATCCTCTTACAATCCAAGGCAGAAGTGTGCTGTGCTACAAAGGCTTGAATGAGACACAATTACCCGGGGCAAAAGAAAGCAGAGCACAATGGTTCCGACTTTTATATTGCACTTTAAACACCAACGCAGCACGTGCCTGGGTGAACACACACACACACGGCCTCTTCGGCTTCTTATTTGTGCCTGACTATTGTGATCTGTTTGATGGAGCGCACACTTTGTCGACAAAAGTATTATTAGGCAGAATGTGGCCTACAAAGTGAACGTAAAGAAGTTAAACTGTCATTCAGCTGCATGGAAGTGTGGCTAAGTGGGTGACATTTCTGTCAATGATTATTTGTAACTCAAAAGGAAAGGGACATGTGGTTGAGAAATCTCGTCAGGGTCACCAAAGTGAGATATTCCACAAAATGGCTTGGAATTAATCATCATTTGACAAATCCATGATTCATATTAGTACAAAAGGAAATGAAATATCTTTCTGTTAATTAATATTGGGATAATTATACCAGCTTGCGTACACACACACAGTTGCGAGGCTGAATGAAAGACCATTTTCAGCGTGTGTAAAAGTAGAAAAGATAACCCTAAATTAGCCATGATGGATCCTGAAATGCTCAAATCATAGCAAATGAACTGATAATTAAGAGGAACATGTAATGATTTTAGCAAGATATGTGCTAGAGAAAGTTTGGTTTACTTACTGTGATGCTCGTTTCTTAGAATGTGTGTCTTATTGCTCCCACATGATTGGCTGATAAAGTAGCCAGTGAGTGCATGTTGGCATAGAAGATCTCTGACTACATCTCAGACTATTAAATCAAAATTTATCTGGGTTTTTAAATGAGTAAGTCTTCCGTCCTACGATATTTAATGTCTTTAATGTTTGTTTTATATGGCCCTGCTGAAAATCTAGCATGAATTACAAAATAAATATTTTTGATTAAATAAATATCAGGGGAAATTATTAACCTAATATTTTTTAAATAATACAATTATGCTCATATTTTGATGTTTGTTTTTTTTACCCACATTGCTGAAAACAACTAAATTACTGAATCTAAAGCAACATTTTAGACAAGTTATTTTTAAGAAAATAAAGCAGCTGTAAATCTCAAGCTTTTTCTAATCAATTACATAATTAGGAAGCTGTATAATAACAACTTAGCAGCTGGCAAAGATGGTCTATTAGCTTGATCAGCTTGGCATGTGTTTTGGCAGCTGGTAGCAGGTTAGACCAAGATAGATTTTTCTGCCATGTGGGTAGCATCAATTGCATAATCATAAATATTTTAATTATACAGTTTATAAGCAAATCTGGCCTTTGTTCAGTGGGTAATATCAGCTGGATAATGTACATTTGTACTGCTGCTGTAATCTTAAATATTATGCTGCTCATACTGAACATCCTTTCAACATTTCGTAAGTACTGTTTAACTCTATATTATACAGTTGTAGAAGAGTAATGAGTTACAACCCCAATTCCAAAAAAGTTAGGAAACTGTGTAAAATGGAAATATAAACAGAATGCAATGATTTGCAAATCTCATAAACCCATTTGTTATTCACAGTAGAAAATAGAAAACATATAAAATGTTTAAACTGAGCAAATGTACCATTTTAAGAAAAAAATTAAGTAATTTTTAATTTGATGGACAGAACACGTC